TTTGTTCTTGCAATTATCTTTTTTTTTCCAGTTTTTAGCCCAAATCTTCTTTTTTTTTTCACTTTTCCCTTTAATTTTGTCTCTTTTTTCCCATTTTTATCCCAAATTTTCTCCTTTTTTTCCACTTTTCCACCAAATTTTGTCTCTTCTTTTTCCCCTTTTTCTTCAGATTTTCTCTTTTTTTTCATTTTTTCCCCCAATTTTTCTCTTTTTTGTTCCACTTTCCCCCCAGTTTGGCCTCATTTTCCCGTTTTTGCCCCTTTCCCACCCAATTTTCTCCCCCTTTTTTCCTCCTTTCCCCAACTTTTGGCCATTTCTGACCCAAATCTGAATTAATTTTGGATTTTTTTTTGGCCATTTTGGACCCAAATCTGGATTAATTTTGAATTTTTTCTGGGTTTTACCCCAAATTTTGGCTTTTTTTCTCATTTTGGGCACTTTTTTACCCAAATCTGAACAATTTTTTACCTTTTTTGGACCATTTTTCCCCAAATCTGCCCCAATTTTGTCTCTTTCCTCATTTTTAACCCAATTTTTTTTTCCCCATTTCCCGTTTTTTTCCCCAATTCTCGTTTTTTTCCCAATTCCCGTTCTTTTTCTCCAATTCCCACTTCGGCTCGGCACAGCAGCAGCTGGGGGTTCCCCCAAAGGCTGCTCCCCCGCTCCCCCATCAGCAAAGCTTTGCACCATCGGAACATTTTAATGACTGAAGGCGTCAGCTCATCTTTGGTTACAGATGGCAGAACTTTTTATTAATTAATACCCCAGTTTGCTAGTTCTGTCTCCCCCCTCGCATGCGAATTTCCCCAGGCTGTGGCTCTTCCCTGCCATGGGGGCCTGAGCAGGTGAGCGATGGGCTGGATGAGCTGCGGCGTCCGTTTTCCACTGCCGGAATTTCCTTTTCCCACAGGCATTTCTCAGCCTAAGCGCTCAGAGCTGCCAATCATCACCTGTCACCCAACAGTGATGGGGACAGTGACAGTGACGGGGACACTGATAGTGACAGTGATACCCTAACCCAGCCCAGACCCCTCCCACACACCCCAGCCCGGGCCAACGGGGTCCCAAAACCCCCAGGTCCCTGTCACTCCCCGGGCTCTCAGTCCTCCCCAGTGTTCCCAGTTTCCCATGTGCCACTCCCAGTATCCTCAGCATGACCAGTTCCCCCCAGTACCCACAGAATCCCTTTCCAGTGACCTGCCCCAATACCCCTATGTCCTTCCCAGTTCCCCCCAGCTCCCCTCCAGTACTCAAAGTATCCCCCACTATCCCCTCCCAGTTCCCCCCTAGTGCTCCCAGTATTCCCTGGGTCCGTATCAGTGTCCCCCGATGCTCCCAGTTCTCCCCTCCAATTCCAAAGGAGAGTTACCCCTGCCCCTCCAATTCCCCCTTCCGTAATCCCAAAATCCCCCATGTCCCTCCCAGCTGTCCCCCAGTGCTCCCAGTATCCCCAGTACCTGGCCCCTCCCCGGGCTGGAGGGCAGCGCTGGGGGAGGTCGGAGGGCTGCGGGAGGGGAGGGGCAGAAATCGGGGGACGCGTCCCACCCCAAATGGGGGGGGGTGGGGGAGGAGCTCGGGGGATTTGGGGAGGGTCTCGGGGGGGCAGAAGCGGTTAAAGGGAAATGGGGGGGTGAATTGGGGGGATTAAGGGGGTTGGGGGGGTCCCAGCCTTGGGGGGGTTCTAGGAGAACAGGGAGGGCTCAGGGATGGGGTTAGGGATTTTGGGGGTGGGGATTATTTTGGAGAGGGGGTTACTTTGGGGACGGGGATTGTTTGGGGGAGTTATTTTGGGATGGGGATTATTTGGGGGAGATGAACTTGGTGGGTATTTGGGGGGATTCGATTATTTTAGATAAGGGGATATTTTGGGGAGGGGTATTATTTGGGGTGGGGGATTATTTTGAGGGGATTATTCTGGGGGGGACATAGATGATTTTGGGGGGGTCACTCACCTGTCCGGCCGTGCACGAGCCAAAGGCCCCCCGCAAGCGCCGCCCCCACCACGAAGGCACCGAAAGAAACGGCGGCCACGGCCCCGGGGGGCACGGAAGGGGCTGCGGGGCAGGGTCAGCCCCCCAAAATCCTGACCCCCCCCCCAAAGGTAGGGGCCGGGACCCCCTAAAATTCTCCCCTAAACAACTCCAAATTCCACCAAAAGGGAAACCAGAACCCGAGATCCTCCCAGCTCACCAAACCATCTTCCCCCGGAAGAACCCAGGGATTCGGGACGTCCGTCCAAAGTCCCTCCCCGGAAAGGGGCTGAGCAGTTTGGGAGCCACACCCCCCCAAGCCCCCCCAAGGGGTCTGGGATCCCCCCAAGATCCGCCCCCAAAAGCGACCCAGGAGTTCGGGACCCTCCTCCCCACCAAAGAGAGCTAAGGATCCGCCATCCAAAACTCCCCCAGAAAAAACCCAGGGTTCTGGGACCCCCCCCCCAAAAAGTAAAATCAGGGGTCCTGGATCCCCCAAACTCCCCAATCCCGGGGGTCCCAATGACCCCCCCATTCCCGTCACTCACCCGCGAGGGGTGCCCGGGGCTGCTCCCGGGGGGGCGGCGGGGGGCGCAGGAGAGGCGGGGGCGGCGGGAACGGCAGCAGGGGAAGCCCAGGAGGGGCGCCTGGAGGGGAAGAGGAGGCTACTGGGGGATCACTTCTGCCCGCGGGGCGGGGGTGGGGTGTTTGGGGGTCCCGGTTATGGGGGAGATCCGTTCTGGGGTTTCCCGGGGAGGTCCCGGTTGGCACGGGGGGTCTCGGGGAGGGAGGAGGTCTCTGTCAGGGGGTCCAGCGTTGGGGTGTCTCCAGGGGTGTCTCAGTTGGGGGTCCCTGGGGAGCTTGAGGAGTGGATCCCCGTCCGGGGGTCTCGGGGGTGGTGGTCCTAGTGAGGGAGTCTTGGGATTGGAAGGGGGGCCTCGGGCCGGCGCTCCCGGGGTTGGAGCGGAGTTTGGGGTCCGGGGGTGTCGCCGCTCGGGGGTCCCGTACCGGGCGCGGGGGTGGCGGGTGTCCCCAGCGTCACCACGATCGGGCGGGTCACGGTGAGCAGCGCGCGCCCGGGGGCGGGGCCATCGCGGGGACGGGACCGAGGGGCGGGGCCTGAACCGGAGGCTTCGCCTCTTCTGCGGGGACAGGCTTCGGCCCGGCACTGAGGGGGACGGAGTTAACGGGGACCGGGGGCGAACCCCCCCAGAGGCTCCCGGTTAGGGTTAGGGTTAGGGTCCCCCGTGCCACCCTTGTGTCCCCCTGTCCCTGTTCCCCGGGCCACTCCCGTGCCCCCCTGGTCACGGATCCCGTTGCCCTTGTCCCTTCTCGAGTTACGGTGTCTCCGGTCCCGGTCCTCCTCCTATTCCCTATTCCCTATATGGGTCCTCAGCGTATCCCCTCACCGTTCCCGGTGTCCTCCTCCCGTGTCACCCCCGGCCCCGGTTCCCGTCAGCATCCCTGTGCTCCCGATCCCCCGTGCCTACTCCTATTCCCAGTGTCCCCGCGATCCCGGTGTCCCCCCGCCCGCGGTGCCGCCATGGCCCCGCTGCCGCTGTCCCCTATTCCCGGTGTGTGTCCTCAGCATGTCCCACTCCTGGTTCAGGGTTGCTCCGGGTCTTACTGTCCCCCGTTCCTAGTGTCTCCCATTTCCTCTGTATTCCCTTTATCCCATTTTTATCCCATTGTATCCCCGTTCTCATTATCCCCATTCCCGGTGTCCCCATTATCCCATTCCCGCTATCGCATTCCTGTTATCCCATTGTTATCCCATTGTTCATGGGGTCGGTACCGCGGGAAGCCCACCCGGTGTCCCGGTGTCGCCCCGGTGGCGGCAGAGGCGCAGGCGGCAATGCAGGAACTGCAGCGGCTCCGGGAACCGGGCCGGGAGCACGAACGAGCCCCGGAGCCGCCGCCGCGCCCCCCCCGGGCCTTCCCCGCGCCCCCTGCCCGCCCCGCAGCCCCCCCGCAGCACCACGAGCGGCCGCGGCACTGGGGGGGGACCCCGGGAGGGGCCCGGGGACGAGCGCGGGGACACGAAACAGCGGCGGAGAGAGAAACCCAGCCCGGGGGGGGCGCGGGACAGCGACACCTGGGGGAACACGAGACAGGGGTCACGGGGGGGCACACGGGGGTGATGGAAATCGGGACACCCCTCGGTGCCTCCACCGTGCTCCCCGTGTCCCCCACAAGGTCCCCCGGGGTCCGATGTCCCGCCGGTATCCCCTCACCTGTCCCCCCCTCACCTAGGGGGGACACGCGCCCCCCGCCGTCTCCGGTGTCGCCTCCCGTGTCCACTCACCTGCAGGAACACGCGTCCGCCCGCGGGCACCGCGCGCGGTCCCGGGGCCGGGCGGAACTCGGGGGAGGGGGCGACGTCCAGGCGGAGCCGAGGGGGCCGGGGGGGGCACCGGGGCTGCGGCAGCGGCGTCAGCGAGGGGTCCGCTCCCAGTGCCACCAGTGACCTCCCAGCGCTACTAGTCACCATCCCAGTGCTCCCACTATCCCCTCCCGGTGTCGCCTCCCAGTGCTCCCATTTTCAACCCAGTAACCCCTAGTGCTCCCCCGTGACCCTTCCAGTCACCCCCAGTGCCCCCTTCCGCCCACTCCCAGTCACCCTCAGTTACTACTCGCAGTTCCCCTCCAGTACATCCCAGTGTTCCCAGATCCCCCCAGTGCCTTCCAGTAACTTCCCCGAGCTCCCAGTTATTCCTCCCAATTCACCCAGTTCCCTCCCAGTACCCGCACTTACCCCGGGCCGGTCCCCGCTGCAGCGCGGCCTCGGGGGGCTCGGGAGTCCCGGGGGGGGGGCGGGGTCACCCCACGGCCAGCCCGGGGGGGGTCCTGGGGGACGGTGACACCTCTGGGTGTTCCCCCGAGGTCACCCGAACACCTCCCCACCCCGGACATCCAGGACCCACCCCCGTGCCCCGGTCCCCCAGTGACCCCCCTGGGACCCTCCTGTCCCCTCCGTGACACGCGAGAACCCCTGAAAACCCCCCTACCCACCTGGGACCCCTCCACTGGGACCCCTCTGTCCCCCCACCCCGTCCCCTGGG